CAGAGAGAGAGAGAGGGAGAGAGGGAAAGGGCCAGACACTCTTTAAACAGAATTAAATCAGAAGTTAATTCTTGGTTTGGGCTGCTGGCGCAGCTGGCAGAATCAACTCCCAAGTTGATCCTTTGAGGCTGGCGCATTGAATGGGGGCTGTTGCTGAAGAATTAACTTTCGAGTTAATCTTATTCAACTCTTGTATTCAGTCTCTTCCTCCGAGTTTGCAAAGCTTCGGCGATATACGGCTTCACGGTTTCAGAATCAATATCACACGTTACACTTACACCTGGTCGCAAGGAAACACCAGGCCATCACATGTTGAAAGACATGGCGCACCTCCTTTCAAGACGACATAGCGCACTAATGTTGCAAGTAGTTCTGCCGCCGGAGTTGAAGTCTCCCCAGCCAGCAATGCTAGTCGCAGTGCTTGTGCTGGCAAGGCTTTTGGAGGATGTGGCTCCTTGAAGGAGCGTGTGGGCGACGAAGACACGGAAAGCCATCGGAAGACAAGTCTTCGTACATCTGGGGCTTCAATGCTTACGCAGTCACTTTGCAGACCTTGAAGAAGCTTCTGATCCTCTCGTAAACAGCCTGGCCACATCAAACACCAAGAAGTTCAGACAAAAGACTTCTTGAGATTATATTTCAACCAATTCATGTTCAAGCTCAAACAAACCCAATCATCTACAGTAACACGGTCTATTCGTGTCTATTCACAAGCCACGAGGGATTTAAAAAATCCATTAACACATCAAACCATAAGAAATTCCTATTGATAGACCCATGTCTATATAATAATGATTACAGTGTTGCTTCTCCCCCTCTATCGCTCCAAGAATGGAAGCCACCCGCCTCGATCCCGCCATCTGCTTGAACCGATGCCCAGCCAAAGGAGTCTATTGTGATTCCTCTGGAGGTCAACCGCGCTGCGAACCAGTCGTTGTGAGTTTTTTCACACCTGAGGAAGAACGGGCCGCAGTCTGTGTACATCCGAGGCTCAAGTCGCCGTCCCGTGAGGGTCATATTCGGCCGATTGCGGTGACTGTCCTTCCGTAAACATAGTGCAAGCACATGCTTTGAGCTCCCCACCCGTGCTCCAGCAGAAAGCCGTGCTGAACTTGTGGATGAAGCAAATGCCCAAGCATCACCTCATCACCATGAATCATATGGTATCATAGTCTATGTTACAGTACCCTCGGAATAGGGAAGTGACACACTCACACACAAATGGTCGTCGCTGTCTCTTTTGCACCATCTGATAGGACCGGATAACAATTCTCGTCGTGTCATCGAAACTGAAAAGAACCGATGATCCTCGAGCCCACCCGCTGGAAGATGGTCTCGAACTGTTCGCCCCCGGCTCCACCACATCCTTCTGAGTGGGGCAAAGCCACAAAGCGCACCTGAAGCGAAGAAATCGGATGAAATCCCATGAAATCCAAGAAGCTTCACCCGGAAGATCTACGTCCCGCCTGTCCATCCGCTCCGGCTTGGCCTTCCACGTCCTTGTTCAGCCTGGTGACACAACATGTCTCAACTCCGTTTGCTTCGTCGGTGCCGGGCCTGGAACTGGCCAGTCGGGCGACCTCTGACGAGCACAGGCTTGTTGGCCTCAGAGCAGACCGACATGCCGATCTCCTTCGAGCAAAAAGCTGCCGATCTCTCGAAACGTGTCGACAACAAGGCCCTCGATCCGACTGTTTGGTCTGTCTCTCTTTCGATCTGATCGAGTCCGTTCCCGTTTGGCGCAACAAAAAGGAATCACGGCCGACGGAGGAGCGTGGAGCCGCCGATGGGGCTTGGCCGAGAAGCAGAATCAAGCCGACGGGGGGTAAGCGTTCCAAGGGTTGAGACATGGAGACGGAGACGCGAATGTCTTTCACAAAGTCTTCACAAGCGAGGGAAGGAAGCCATTCTCGCCTCAGATACAACGAATCGTCGAAGCGATCACAGTTGTTTACTGTGTCCCTTGCGTGTATTCCATGTGTGGAATTTGCTCATCAACTGCGAAAGGGGTTATATAGTAAGTATTTTGAAGGGTATCTGGTTGGCCATTCACTTCTGCCAAGCTGCTTCACCTGAAGACCTGGCCCATTCAAATCTTTCTGCTCGAAGTTGAACTCAGCCTACGGGACTCATTGCCAGATCCAAAGCTTTCAAGCGCAAAAAATGGGCTTCATAGGGGCTTCTTTCAACCAGACAGACATCGCTCGCAAGTGCAAACATCGTGCTGGATTCCTTCCCCAAAAGACATCTGTCACGTCCGTCCCAGGTGATCCAAGCGGTCACGGTCTTTCGCCCACGCGAAAGAACCCGGGCAGGGCTGCTGCGCCGTCCGTCGCCGGTCGCCTGCAAATCGCTGAGCTGTTGGGACTCGTCCAAGAACCAATTCCGCCAAATGGACACTTGCGAAATGCCCGCACGCTCGCCCTTGCTGAGATCCCCCGATGCAATCCCAATCCTCGGTGGGAACCCGCTGGGTTGATTCAAGGAGGTTGTTTCATGCTTGCTTAAGTTTGCCAACAAACACTTGGCATTGTTTCAGGATGGCAAGAATTCTGGTAGACCAAAATGAACGAAGAGCCTTGTCAAGCATCATGTCCTTAAAGACCTGTGCTGCCAGGTCTTGCATTTCAATTCCTCCGTTCAGCAATCCGGCATTGATGTCCATGTCCTTTTCAAGAATGTTGAAGCGGCCAGTGGTTGTCACCACTTTGAGCGTCGGCACGAACGGAAAGTTTGTAATGGCCTGCAGTGAACGAAGCCCCGTTTCGGCACCCAAAACCGCCAGGCGAGTGCAGGAGCCACTCTTCACTTCCAGACTCAACGGGGAGATCGACCCCCAAACACCAAAACCCACATCCATCCCGGTTCGAACTCGGATCTTCGACCCCATCCAAGATCATCTGGACATCATATGCTGATGGTGACTACAGTGTTGATCCCAAAAATGACTGTGACTGTGTCGTTTCGTGGCCCAGGCACACCATTCCCGGTGACAAAGAAGATCACGTTGCAGCCGCTGGCGACTTGTCCAGCGATCGACTCCAAGTCATTCCCAGGGGAATCCATGAAATAGTAACCTGCCACACACGCAGGTTAGGCCACTGCCACTACCAAGACCAAAATGACTTCTTGATTGGTAGCCGTGTGGCCATTCTTCTGCCGAGTCTCAGTGTTTTACTTTAGTTTGATGATTCTCTGCCTGACTCCGTCTCAGGGACATGCTCACCATACTCCACACACTTGTCCAAGGAGACGTCTGGTGGCTTCTTGCGCGATGCCCCCAAGCTTTTGATCCTCAGCTGCTTGAGCTGGGTACAGCATCTTGTAAAGGAGCGTCCCCGCAACCCCGCTGTAGAGGCCCCCCCAAAGGATGGAATCGGAATCCTTGCAAAGGAATACAGTTCTTTGTCCAATTCTTGGTCGATCTCCACGTAAGTCACTGGACAGACATGAAGTGAGTCCGAGTGTCACGATGTTGTACAATCCGCGGAAGAGGTTTCCGCCCGAAGGATTTCCCGCAGCATCTTGGCCGTGTCGAGAGGCATACTGCTTGTACCGCTCGGTCCTCGGTCGTGCTGCGCCACACGTCGGAATACACGTGTCAGGTGCCTCTTCAGTGAGGGGAGGCTCTTGTCGTTGGAATACTCTGAAAGTTCACACATCACATACAGTAATTGTCCAGTCCATCTACAGCGCACCATGGGTATGGGTCTGATTCTCTGACCCACAGTCAAACGAGAAGTGATTGAAGAAAGTGGACAAAGCCATTGACCACTGCAGGCAACTTTGCACCTCCTGACAAAGCAAACCTGTCAATTTCAAGATGAACCACCTGGTCGCATAAAGACAAGAGTAGTGATGAGTAGTGATGAGTAGTGTATGTTTGGGCATGGAGTGATTGCCTTGTGCCGGGGATCCCTGTAACGTCCCCCTTGGTGCTTGTCAGGTGCTTCTCAGCCAGTCCTTTCGTCCTTGCAAAAGGTTCCACCCTGGAGCCCCAGGCCCTAACAACAGGCGATTACACCCGTTCCACCAAGCCGCATCATCAGGAAATGACGCGCCACCTCCAGGCTTCGGCAGTTGGCCAAAATGTACGGCTCGGCACCCACCAGTTCGGGAGATTCAGCAAGCAGGGCCAAACCACCTGGTCAGTCATAGCAAAGCAGCTGCTTGGAAGGCAGGAGAAAGACGGGCTTCCTCCGATTTTGAATGTGGGCTGGTCACCTTGATGTGGAGAGTACAAACATTGGAGAGTTTCAGGAAACTTCACGCACAAACATCGAAGATTCTAACACGTATGGAATTCCTCACACGTGAGCTGCTCATAATGTTGCGCTTCCCCAATTGGTAGGGACAGTCAGGGTTTGTAGTTATTACAGTAGGATACAGTAGGTGTTTGTTTGTGGAAAAGTCAAGGATGGGCATCACTCGCCAGATCAACCCTAGACTTTCAACCACTTACTTACTACATGTTTTCATGTCAACATATATGTCTCCTCTTCCACCCATTCCGGGCATCACAGCCCTCTCATCAGCCACCATTCCGCCTCTGGTCAGCAAGAGCTTGGAGACCTCCCCCACCAGTGGATTTCCAGTGATCCCACTGAAAGCATCGGAGCCACCACCTCAGTGAGGTCGCGCCGAGGCGGGCCGAGGCCACCGGCGAGAAAACCGGTGAGGGTGTGTTGGCGGACTTGGTCATGGACGAAGTGGGTACAGTATTGATATTATGTATTGGTGGTCATGGTCCGGGGTCGTTCTCAAGCAAGCTGATGATCAAGCTCCATCACTGCCTTCAGAATCGTTGACGTCATAGATGTCGATTTTAAGGAGTTCTAGGGCATGGACATTGCAGAGCTATCCGCAAAGCAGAGACGGGGTGCGCCATTCGTCTGTACTGGCACAGGAGTGATCAGGTGGAGAATTTGTTGTCTTTTTTTCAATTCAGCTATCTTCCTCTTTTCATTCAAAAAATTTGTCTTCTCGATCTCTTCTTGGAGCAAAAAAGGAGTCCTTTTTTGCGGGTGCCACTTTGATGAACATCTCTTGCTGCGCCTCAGCCGCCTTCGGCAGCAAGGTTCCCTGGACGGTCTCTGCTGCCTGTTGCAGATCCTTCGTCCAGTCTCCACTGAGCTCCATGAACTCGTGCCTCAGCGGCTACCATGACCAGGGCGAGGAGGAAACTCAGTCAACCGAGGCGTGGACGGAACGTGTTCGGTGGGATAGTCGGACATAAAGGCCTTTAGGTCATCCAGCTTGAGGTGGCGCTCTTGACCTGCTAAGCTGTCTAGTCGCTGTGTGAGCTTCTGTCTGAGCTGTGTATGTCGTATGTTCTTCCATTCTTCCCTCTTTCCTTCTATACAGTTCTCGCCTGTTGACACGATGAGTGCAGATCCTGTATTTGGATGAACGAGGAACCCGGCGATCGTCCGCAGCAAGAGTTCCCGGTTGTTCTGCACCTTGCTTTCACCTGAGATCGTCTGCACCAAGCGATGCTTGAGTAGAAAATCAAGGGGCCAGTGAAACAAGGCGCACAAGTCTCTGATTACTTGGATACTTGTTCGTTCAAGAAACCTTCGTTGTGCGCGACGGCCACGACGCCGTCAACATTCTCCACGTTGGCATGCGGCATCAAACGCGCCTCTAACGCCCTCACAAAGCTCGCTGACGACACCGTCAGACCAATCAACACCACCTAGGAGCAGCTAGGACAAGGCACATGGGCCGCAAACGAGACACATGAGTCCAAGGTCTGAATCGATCTGTTCCGATTCACTCAGCAGCGTCAGCTCAAACACGCCCTGTCTTGCGGGGGTTGTGCCTTGTTTCGCGTTCCCACTCCACGGCCACCTGTCCTGCAAGAAGCTCTGGCCATGGTGCAAAGACTTTCGACTTTGGGAAGCTCTAGGAGGGTGTGTCTTTGCGTCATAGGATAGCAAGCCCCGCAGAGAAACCACTCACAAGAGGAAAAGAGACGAACACCAGCACTGTCAGTGGATGTTGAGATCAATCCAGAAACAATCAGCACATCCCCAGCCTGGCAAAGCCCTGAAAGGTGTCCGGGAGATTGCAACCTGCGGTTTCAGCCTGGCGACGTGACTTGTCCGAAACACCGTGCGTGGACTTTTGTGGAGACTTTCAAACAGGGAGACCTTCTGCCAGACAGGAAAACAGCGTCCGGGAGGTCTGACTTCCCCACATACTTTTGTACACACCGAGTACGATCCGCCACGCACGAGTACACCGAATCCGCGACGAGCAAGGGCGGATCGCGTGGGTTTGTTCACACCGAATCCGCTCCGCCTGCTTTCCAGCCACAAAGGTGCTCTCATCGAAAACAAAGGGACACCTGAGGCCAAGAGAGCGACGGTAGAGCCCTTGAGGGAGGAAAAGAAAGGTCGTATTAGTAGCAGTAGCACCACAGTATATGTCCAACACATGCAACTAAGGTCACACGGCATGAGGCAGAGCTATCTAAACAACTATTGCAACTATTAGCCTGTGATACTGAAACCAGCCCCGCATGGAACTCTGGATCTGATACTACTCCGCAGACACCATACGACATCATTGAATCACTCCACACCAGCCCCACGCCTGATCTCACCTGGAAAAGCACCAGTCTTTGGACAACCCATCTTGATCCTTCAAGTCGTGGGCCCCTTTGGAAGAACTGCAGCAATCTAGTGAGACCAGGGCGGCTCGTTAGATTCCACCTCCTCACCTGATTTCTTCCGAAATTCCCTGCAGATCTGCAGGAATCTCGCTTCCTCCAAGTGACGATGCAGAAGTGTCTGGGTCCTCGAAATTCGTGAAGTCGGGCAAGGCAAAGTTGACATCTCTCCTTCCTTTCAAGGCCTTGATTGCAGTGGATTGCAGTGGATTTGATGCCACTAAATGACTCAATGGCAACAGCCCTTGCCGGCCTTGCCTTCAACATCAAGCTGTTGCAGCAATAGTCTCCAGGCTGTATTGATTGGGATGCAATTCCAAACGGCAAAGACCAGCTTGTCAAATGCTCACCTATCGAGGTGACAAGAACTTGGTGCTTCACATTGCTCATCTACCCAGCACGATGAAGAAAATGTGGCAGCTTGCCAAGCCTTTCGGAATGTGTTCAATGGCAAAACGATGCCCCTCCAAGATCGCGTGCGATAGTCTGTGGACAGAACCTGATCCACAGAAAGAGAAAGAGAACGGCAGGCAGCCACGGGGGTAGGCTAAGGCCTAAAGCGACCTCGAAAGGTTCTGCCTCTCCATGCCATGAAGCAAGGCAAAACCTAGTGTCCAAACCTGGATCATGTCTAGATTTGAATCGGTAGCAAGAATGCTACTACAGTAAGGAACCAGGGCATCGCCACTAGTAAAAAAGTGCATTTCTACTATAGGAGCAAATAGCTACTAGTATATAACAAGAAGCTACTAGGAGCAAAGGGCATTACTACTAGGAGCAAGGACGCTATGCTCGGTGGAGGCCATAACAAGAAGCTACTAAAAAGAAGCTTGACCCGCCTTTCCAGGCGAAGCGTGTGCCCTGACGCAAAGGCTTAATCGCAATCGCGCAGTTGTCACCAGGATGAGCCATGGTGGCAATATCAGCCAGTAGTTGCTCCTGCTCCTGAATAGAGATCAGCCTAGGGCCTAGAACAGCCTGCTTCCTCCTACTTTGGTACACCAAACCTTCCAAAAGCATGCTCTATCAGGTCTTTGGATTCTTTGTCTCTTTCCTCCTTCTTGGCACCAGCTACATGCCAAATTACCCTGGTGAACAGAAGAATCCTTTTGAACCCCTTCGGTGTCTATATAGGTCTGGGATGAAAACCAGGACACTCCTCTCAAGCCCGATCGAAAAATAGCACCGATCGAATGACCCGATCTGCTTCGTCTCGACCACACGACAGCGACCGACCTACATAGGTCACTCCGACCCTTCACCACATGACGGAAAGGATTCGTGCTGCCACGAATAGCTGCCGGAGACAGCCAAAGGGAGCCAAGAGTGGAAACAAGCAAAAGAACATCCACGATCCAGCCACAATAGCATGTGAAATTGAAGCCGCTCAAATGTGCGGCGATGCTGCTCAGTCCTCCGTTTCATAGGCGATATCCATACGCCGAGGCAATTTGGAGCCGTTCTGACCATATCCCGCCATCTTTGAAGGTAGGAAATACTATCTATCGGACTTGAAAGCTGTTCATTCAGCTAGCCTGCGCTGTCACATTAATTAACTTCTTAGGCTGGTGGACACAAGAAAGGGAACAGCTAGGCTATATATATAATATGTGTAGAGGTTTGATCACACCTTCATACAATGCTCTTCATAGCTACTTGGTTGCAAAAACATAGCTTTGAATCTTGAATTGAAGCAATGGCAGCTGGCCAAGCATGCACTATGTCATGCTCACTGCATATACTCTGAGCTGGCACGAGTTCTTCCTCTCGTGTGCACAAACTCATTGCTGAACAGCAGGGCCTGGCTCTTCCTTGTCCTACAGCAAAGCGTCAAACGGCCGAGTTGACCCAGACCGCGCCGGACGCAAAGACCGCTCCTTGCCATGCTGGCCACAACGTACCGTGGAAAGAATCACCACCAATCGCTCCTGGAGAGAACAACGCGGATCGGGGCAAGCGGAGCGATTGTTCAACGCCCCTCTGCAACTCGGAGGGGAAAAAGGCCCATCGCACCCCCCAAACTAAACATCAAATCGGTTGTCTATGTATATATGTGGATCAAAAATACGGGTGACACTACCAAGGCTTTGGTCCCCAAAGGCTTTGGTCTCCACAGCCAAGGAACCGAACATATCCTCCCGTTCGGTCGGAGAGTGAGTCACGCAGCTCCTGGCCCTGAAAATGCTCGACGGTGCCCACTTCCACATCGGCAAAACGAACACCTAAGAGATCATTCGACCATGGTCGGCAAACGGAGTCATTCGACGCCTGGAAGCTTAGGATCACAAGCGCGCTTTTGTTCCAAGTGATGCGCTACTGAGCATTTTGAGGATACAAATCCAACAGATCCTCTTGACTCTACCTCGAAAATGGGCTGATCTTTTTTTGCCAATGCTCAGCTGCTCATAACTTGGTTATGATACAAAATGAGACCACAGGTCTTTGGCGTCGCATCCTTCCGCATTGCCTCTGAGCTCGGTACTGAGCGCGTCTTTAATCACCTTGACCTACAAAACACGACACTTCAGCTGTCACCGAGTGTGACACTCCTGTACTGACCGCCCCGAGAAGATCCGATAGGGCCCGCCCATCAGCTGTAGGAACTGAAGATCGGAGGGCCATCGGTTTTACCAAAACTGGTCTGTCGATTTGACCTGCCTGCCGTGCATAAGGAGTGATAATACCAATGTCGTTGGGTGACAAAAGCTTCTCCAAATCGGCTCCTGCAAGCGGTCCAAGCGAGTGGCCGAAGGGAACACCATGGACGGAGGCAACTTATGGGACGGAGGCAGCATGTCAAAGGCAAAAACATCAAAAGACATGCTTGCTTTGGATATATGCATAACTTTTCAATACGATTAAGCTGCAACTGATGGATCACTGTGTGACATTGACTCCACCATTGCTGCTCTTCAAAGGCACGTCTCAGACGGGCCCGACGAATTTGCACGCTTCCTCTACCATATCTGGCATCGCACAGCTCTTGCACATAGTGCTGCACTAGCCGAACCTGACGGAATCTCTTTCACTGATGTTGCTGAACTTGATTTGCAAACTGCTGGGATTGCAATAGTTTTCGGGGCAATCCGAGCGCGTAAACGCCTCATCTAGGTTGCACAGCGACGCTGAGCTGGAGTCGCAGCCTCAGTGTTGGCGACACGGCGTGGGAGCCTCCCAAAAGCAAACACGGAACCCAAAAAGAGACCCCATTTTTTAGCGCATGCACCCAAGCTGTTGGCTTCAAATTCACCTCTGAAAGACTGAACCACTCCACTCCTTCAGCTTGCTGTTGAACTCCTTTTCAGCCGCTCTGGGCCCAAGTTCCTGACGCTCCCTTCCAATCACGTGGTGCAAAATCACCGGCGTTTGCGTGCCTGGCAACGTGCCGGGCCGGCGCGCGACATCAAGAAAGGTGGCCTCCAGTCTACCCAACCAAGTTTGGGAATGAAAGCCCAATTCGCTTGGCAGCGGGAGTTTCCCCCCGCAGAAAAGGAGGGTCCCATCTTCAGGCTCTCATCGCGGCAACATGATTGTGCATCAATGGAGAGCCCTGCCTTGTGCATTGAAGAAAGGCATCAGCCTAGTAGCAGCACAGGTTGGTCGAGCAAAGCTCTTCTGCCTAACCCTGCCAGTCTCATCACAGAAATGACACCCTCCCTGTATGAACAGTTTCTGGCTCCCATCCAACCCGTCCTGTGAACGTTTAATGATAAAGACGGACTTTTTTGCTCCTTCAGTTGTTCTAAGGCATGAAGTTATTTGAATAAAGTTGACGGAAGTGTGGCCTAATATAATATGTATGTATATACGATTATATACGTTTGAATCAACTAAAGCAGAAAGGCTGAGCAAGGTCTTCGTTGGTGGCTTCGAAAAAGAATTGAAAAGCAAGGGGAAGTGGCGCACCTAGTCTGCAATGCTCGATCGCGATGTTCTAGCTGTCCAGAATAAAACACCTTGTCATGAACAGAATAGACGTATCTACTGGCAAATTCTGTACGCACTAGTAGCTCTCTGAACCGCAGAGGACTGGCACCTTTTTCCAACCGTTGCATCTTGAAGGATGCTGCAACTGACTACAAGCCAGCATGCCAGCCAAGTGAACAAGGCCGTTCCAGCGATGGCTTCAGTATCAAGATGCATTCTTTGATGCAAATTATGAGACTTCAAGGTCTCATCGCAAGTGCGGTCGTCCAAGTCAAGGATTCCAACATTTGTTGTTGCAGCCTTGTGGTCGAAGGCGGATATCAAGAAAAGCTTTGTGCCTAGCACATAGCATAAATAATGTACCCAGGATTTGGATGTGTCCCTTGAATTGATTTCTGATGACTGGCACCCTACTCATTGCAGGTTGTCTAACATAAAATGGGAAGACTCAAAGAAAACCTGTCGAATTTGGACCCTCAAAAGTTGCTGAGAATCTTGGAATCTTCCAGCAAGCATGTTCCAAGCAGCATGCAACTAGATATAGCAAGCCTATGTGCTGCCGCATTCCATGTGGACACGAATTTCAGCTAAGGATCCACCCAGGATGCATCCTTCACACGAAGCTGTATGAGTGTTTCTGGCACAAGGCGAAACGCATTGAAGCAGCACCTCGCTTGTCTTGTCGAAAAGGTGCGGGATGCGAAACAATACGAAAAGATGCAAAGTGTGTTTGGATATATTATATTCCATGCTCGACGTGTCCAAACGTCCATTGACTCTCAACAGAGTTGGAGATGTCAACCATTTGAGAACATCAAGTGAAGAATTCTATGCACAGGCCGTTACGTGCGTATTCAAGTCATGTCCTCCAACTGGGATTGTAAATTGGCCCAGGATGTCAGGAAGCTTGAACGGGACTTGAAGTCTGGCCAGCCTTCTCTTGGCATCGTCTAACAGAAACCTTCTCTGATGTAAAGGCTGAGACGAGATCAGATCTCTCAGCTCTAGCTCAGCATCTGCGTCTGCGTAGCTCAGACGCGTCTGGTCTTGCAAATCCAAGTTACACAGCTCACCAAGTGCGACAAGCAATAGTTGCAGTGTGAGGACAGATGCTGGAATTGCACGCACCTGAGAACGCCAACGAAAGCGCCAACGAGTCAACGATTGGACCCGCTGAGAACGCGCTGGCTATTGCAAACCAACAAGCCGGAGTCCAAGACCCTGAATCCTCCGCAGACCCACCACTACATTTTCCATGTACTGCTGGAGGCCATCGCTATTAGGTTGGAGGTCGTCGCTATTAGGTTGGAGGCCATTTCCTTCCAAAGCCGCTTGGCCTTGATGCGCAAGGCTTCCAATTGTAAGTGCTGCTGGTATAGCACTGCAGACCACAATCCCACCTTAGCTCCGCCATCCAAGTTCAGCGCAGCAGAAACTTGGAACACTGGCTGCGAAGAAAAGGGACACTTGGCTGTTCCAATGTGTAAACACGACCAATCTCTAATCAAAGGGGCAGCCGATGTCGTGTGATCCAGCACACGTCCTCAGCTCCATTTGGAGCAAGCAACGGTCAGCACAAAATGTCAGTCTTGGGGATGGAAGCAGATTAGGTGTCTCGTTCTTGCACAACACTGTGCATCGAAAAGTAAACACACAGGTACACAGTGCTTAAAACGTGATCGGTAGTGCTGTCTCCATGTGCATTCAGGAGGGTCACGTCAATCTTCTTGGGACTGCAAGGTGATGCTAGTCGATTGCACTGGTCTTACAGCTGTATGCATTATTCATGCATTGCTTTTGGACCGAAAACTTGTTCTCTCCAAGTGACATCCAAACGTCGAGATGGAGATAGGCCGTCCTGAGACTGAACAGTTCTCGAGGAAGGTGAGGTCAAGAAAGGATAAACGGAAGAGAGCAAGAGACAAAAAAGACAACAAAAGGAATAATAGGGAAAGACTGAAGAGATGATGCTGAGAGCGACCTGCCTCCGTGAAAACCAATCTTATCAAACAACTTGCTTTCGATGCATTAAAGACTGATCTGAAAAAAGGGAGGTCTCTCTCTCTCTCTCTCTTTCTGAAGGCGAACTCATCTTACCTGACCGGGATCGGCCTCAGTTTGGTTGGATTCCATCTGCAAGGTCTCCAGGTGCTGGAGAAGCTCCAAAGCTGTCTGGCCAAGACCAAAAACACCGCGAGCAGCGACACGTCCAAAGTAGCGACCGAATGTTTCATGGATCTTCATCCATCTTCAATCGCCCCACATCGGTCAAAAAGAGCCATGCGCCAAAAAAAATGAGAAGCTAAAACCAGAGCGCCAAACCGGCAGAAACTGAAACTGCATGGGCCCAACAAAGAAGAATGCACGTTCCTTCAGGTATCTTCAGGTCCTTGGCCGAATCTACTCGAACGATTACCGGAGCCGACCGCTCATCCGTCGAGCCGGAGCCACCGATGCGGGCTCGGTACATGAAGTAAACGGAATGGGGCCTTCAGAAAAGAACCTCCGGAAAAAACTACTCAGCAGGGTTTCAAAACCAGTGTTAGACACCCGCTTGCTGGCGATACTTGGTGTGTTTGGTCACAAAGTAGATAGTTCAAAACAATGGGAACTGCTTGTTTGACATTAGGTTGCTGCTTGAGTGTTTCAAGCATTTTTGGTTGCAAACATGTGAAAACTAGTGTGCCGCATGGGCTTCAAGCCGCGGCTTTCTTTGACTTGCTCTCGGTCACTTGTTCAGCAGCCCATCGGATTGTTCTGTTCATGCCCTACCCCCGCTTGTTTGCCATGTTTGGCAGGCAGTAAATGCACCTTCGTGACAAATGATGCTAGAAATGCAATCAAAAGTGATAAGCATTGTTAGCACCTTCTCTCATGCTACAACAAATGCAATACTTTGCTTCAGGACTTCGAAGGCTGGCATTCGTCATCTGTGGCCTGGTTGACTGAGAAGCCGGTCAGCTCCACAATTTCCTTGGTGTCTGATTTGCTGATCAAGTCTCAATCCGACCGCGACCATGATGAACCAAACTGTTCCAGAAATCCTAAGACAAGCCCCTCTGAACCTTGCTGCCAAGTGCCGAGCGTGCAAGAGGCAGAAACAAAGCTATCAGTGCCCACATTGCTGGCGTTGCTGGTTGTGCCCGCTTCGAGTTGAACAGCTGCGGAGAATCCCCCAGCGAAGTCAAATTCAAAATCATGAGCGCCTTCGCGCAAAAAGACTCAACGTGCGATGTCCTGAAAAAGAGAATGACCCGAAAGACCCGAAAGAAACGAATCTTTCCCTTGACCCGTGCTTGATAACGCATGTGCACCTTGGAGTAGATCTCCATGATGTCGGGATGGGAACGAAAAGATTCTGTGAGGAAGAACAAGCCTTTGCTCTCACATACATCCAAAGTATCACGATTCAAAGATCCTTCCGAAGCCTGAAAGCGTCCATTCACCAAGCGTTCGATCATTGATTCATCCAGGTTTGCGGTGCGTTTGGCCAAGGACGATAGCACCAGCGGACCGAGTTGAAAGTGGTCTCCCAGAAGAATAACTCCACCAGAACCTGGAGAAGCCAATTGTATGGGAACCAGGGTCTCAGGTTCTGTGGCCTCTCCCGCTTCATCCACCAAGACGTGTGAAAACCACCCTTGGCGCACCCCTTCCTTTCGAGCAACGTTTGCAATGTGGGAGGCACAAATGCAAGTTGTAACCACGACCCTGAAAGACCGCAGTTGGGACAGTTCAGGGATCTCAAACGTGGTCCGTCCATCCTTTTGCACTGTTCTGCCATAGCTCTGGATGTCCTCAGGAACAGTCTCGACGTTTCTCCCCAGGGCATTCAGGCGCAGCATTCGACTCTCGTCAAGCCCTAGCTTGGCCAGTTTGCTGCACAATACATCGGCTCCTGTGTTGGAAGGCGCTGTTACTAATATTTGAAACCTAGAGTTTGATTGTACCAAACACCATATCAAGAATGCAGCAAGTGTGCTCTTGCCGGTACCTGGTGGCCCCCAAACAATCACCGGCATGCGGCTACGGCTCTGCATTGCTGCTCTGACTGCTCGGTGCTGTACTGAATTCAAAACCGCTGGCAGTGCTGGTTCGAAATCTACTCGGATCGTTTCCTCCAGCGACATGCTGATGTTTTGGCTTTCCTCTCTCTCCTTGTCTGGTTCCTCGCTTAGTACCTCCTCTGCAGGTGCAGAGTCCAGTGCCTGGTGCATGGCTCGTTGTGGAAATCTGTTCGATAGGAACTCAATGGTATATGGGCCTCGAGTCTCTTCTAATTTGGTGGCAATAGACACCAATACCTTGCCAGAGTCACTACCTGGCTGCACAAAGGCTAAGCAAACCTGCTCGCCATCCTTGCTGATCCTAATCTGCACTCCTCTTTGTAGGAATTGCTCAAATGAATGTGAGAACTGATCAAAGGTTTCTGTGAGATCCAGGTGGTACAAGCCGTTTCCCAAAGGTCTGAGCTTATCTACTGAAGTGGTCAACTGCTGTAGTTCGAAATTGGTTCGAAGCTCTTCCACCCACAGGCTTTCATGCAACTTGGCCACTCGATGCTTTCCGGGGGGTTCATCAAGGGCTATCTTGCCAATGCGCTGCTTTAAAATTGCTCTTGCCCTTGCCCAGAACGCTCGTTTCATTTCCGGAGTGACCAGCTCTTCCTTTTCGATTAAAGTGCCTTCTGCTTGGGGTGTTTGCTGTGAATCGGTGTTTGCAGCTGTGAATCGGTCTGCTTCATCTTCATTCTTTCGGATTTTACCCTCTCTCCACAGATCAAGGAGGTTCGAGTACTCTTCTGGCAGAAAGTATTGACTACCCGACAATCGAAGTGCCGGTCCCCTCCGAGGGACGGTCGGCGGATCCAAAGATTTCATCTGATTTGACAACATATCATCCTCCAAAATCACCACAGACCCTGCGCATTTCTTCTCCCAACAAAGTGTAAGAAGTCTCCGAAAATGGCTGGCTCGAACTTTGGCCAACATATGGAAAAATGCACGCCAGTGGCATGGAAATCTCTACGGCATGCTCTTTTGAGCCGAGATTGCTGTGTAGTCACAAGCCGGAAGGCAGAAATGCTCCGAAGACTAGAAAAGAGTACAAAAAAGCACACACTTCAGCGAACACGCGGCATGGTAACACGCGGCTCTCTGTTAGCATGATGTTGATAGTAAATGAATGATTATGAATGTAAAGGATGGTTTCTTTTTCGCTGATCAGTGCCGCAGTGTCTTCAGGACTCTGTGCAGTTCTCTGCCAAAGTCTCCAGAACTCCTTGGAGGTCTGCTGGCAACGCGGCAGAAGCCGTCAAAGTTTGACCATCCAGATCAGTCAAAATGATCCTCCCAACACAAAGGTTTCAGACATCTTGTGTAAAAAAGAAAATGTAAGGTGAAGGAAGACGAAACGGACGAGAAACTGTATGAAATGAAATATATACATAAAACAAACAACGACATCAGCTTTGTCATGGACTTGTGTTGGGTGGACTGGTTCAGGACCACCTACCAAAGAAAGGGATAAATTTTGAGGCAACTCCTCCGATCATAGCAAGTAGCCCACCCACGCATTCAAACTTGTGCTAATATGAAAATCGAAGCATTGAACGAAATGACAGTGACAAGACCAGCAAGAAAGTGCAAGAGTAGATAAGAAGCCAAGACTTACTTTAAAACACACAAAACGACCAAGTAGGCTGGATTCTTTCTCATTCTTCCCTTCCTCTCCTGCGACAATGCAAGAACAAGCGTGGACAACGCTTGTAAAAAGAAGGCGTTGTCAACGCGAGCTTCGCTCCATATGTTTCATCTCCCAGAAGAGGTTGCTGGATGCTGGCAAAGTGAACCCGAATCTGGTGAGTGCGTCCAGTCTCCTGGGTGCACCCAGGGACAGGCGGACACACGCAACCGCACTGACTAAGCAGACAGACATCAAACTTTCTGACCAGCTTCTGGCATCGCAAGCACCAGCTTCAGTTCACCATGGTTGGAAGCTTTGAACCGCTTCAATATCTTGTATCCTCAAGTGCTTTCGAGCCATTTGGAGCCAAGATTGCAACTCCAAGTTGAATTTCACAAACAAACATACCAAAAGCATGATTCAAAAAGAGACACAGGTCCTGTCGATGCAAAGCGACCCATGTCTGAGACCTCTGTTCTCAGTGAGTCGACACCTGTGGTTCTTAAAGGCTTTGTGATGCGGCCCACTTCGCCCACCTCTCCCAAGAAGGGGCCCTCTGCCAAGCACAAATACTCCTCATTCAAGAAAACTCTCACAGGAAGGGCCAAGACTTGTGAATTCTTGATTCCAAGAGCAAAGTTTGGGTCGATATCTGAGTGTAGCAAAAGAAAGTTGCCGCAAAATGTCTCTTCAATATGTTACACTCCCTGACACAATCCTGGAACTGAAAAAACACCTCTTTGAAGAAGATAATGGTCATCCAATGAGCCATTGTCCACTTCCGTGATTGTTTCAGGGAGTGAATTTCTTTTGTGGGGCTTTGTGTCCTTCTGCACGAGCTTTGCTGAGAACTGTGCTTGCAGCCATTGACAAGCAAGGGAGCCGTCAGGTCCAGCGGCCACAGGCACAACACCGGAGGTGGGATAATCAAGCCTGGCAAATCAGTGGAGTGTGTAGCTTATCCGTCCAACATGGGTGTGATGCAGTTTCGGTGTACTGTCACTCCGTCAAAGTTCCTCGTTGCATTCGATCAAAGCTGAGTTGAAAATTCCGTGGAGCACTGGAATCCTGCCTCGAAACAGTCTGTACCTTTCGAGCCCAAGTACTGCCAAAGGCTTGCTGCAGCAGAGTCTCAATGCTGAGTCCCGCAGGTTTGTTCAAAACCACTACACCTGGTCTTCTTTCAACGACATCAACCTCTGCTGCAACCACCAGGTTGTCATCATCCATTCCTTCGTCCATCTCACGCCACCAGCTCAGTTGTTCCCTCAACATGGACATGGCCACTTCCTTCCCACGAGCAGCCCCTACAGCCCCTGCAAGTGATCCAAACAATGTACCGTCAGGCACCATATGCAGATGTCGCACCTGTGACAAGAGCTCCAAGGAAAACCTCCAGAGACGCCGATGGCAAAGGTTTCTCTCCTTCGCCCTCTCAAAGGCTAAGGCCAGCTCCGTGAAAGTTGAGCCATCTTTCTCTTGGTTGTTCATCAAATTGAAGACATGCAATGCCTTTTCCCATTGGCTTGCCACCTGGCAAGTCCCAATGATACAGTTGTAGGTGATGACATCTGGAACTAAAGCACTTGCCTCGGAACTTAAAGTGAGAAAAAATCGACACACTGCTGATGTAATAAGAACCAAACGGTTAGAACCAAATGAGGAAAGGTACAGCGATGTGTTGCCAGAGCAGCAAAGCTCTTTCCCACTCACCACTCCTTTTACAACTCCCAATTGCCGTGTTGTAGGTGATGAGCCCTGGAGAAGCTTTTGAGTCCATCATGGTCTCGAACACACTGAAAGCCATGTCCCACCTTCACAGTGTCACAGGCACTGAAAGCGTTTGAACAAAAAAGGTATTCTCAAAGACCTCTGGGAAATCAAGACAGACCAATTCCGTGGGTTGGGAGGTCCCCTTATTAAAATACACACCCAAATGGAACGCTGTCCAAACTTGCAGCGCTCGTGTCCAATCAAAACTGTCGCCTGCTCGACTTTTCACAAGCGCTCATGGCAGCGTTAAAGGAATATTCATCGCGAGAAAGGCGAAGGTTCTGCATCTCTGCCAATAAGAGCAAGGATGCTTCCCACTGTGTCGCCTGACACAGCTCGTTTCTTTGTTCTTCCAAGGTGTTCAGACTTCCAAGGTCTTAGCTTCTTTGAGGTCCTTGTTTCAGACATGTTCGAACCTTCCTAGTAAAAAAAAGAGAGTCTGTTTCACCGTTTTTGCCTTTGAACAAGTGCTCATGGCGGCAGTCCAGCTGATGGTGTCTGGCTGCAGCTGCTCCTTTGCCACCATCGTCTCAAGGAACTCCAGGGCAGACTGCCACCTCAGCTGTCTCCCGTCGATGTCTCTCGTCTGTCACTTGTCCTCAATAGATCCTCGACAAAAAGGGACTTCGAGAAATCTGTTGCTTTCAGGTTCCAGATCAATCTTCTTGGGTGCATAGCTTTTTTGCATAGGCCCAGGCTGGCTTGCACCTTCACAAGCGCCCATTGCCGCACTGTAGCCTGAGCAGGTCGGTGCTTTAAGGCCAACTTGGAAAGAAAGAACAAAAAGAGAAGGAATTGGACTGCAATAAGTTATAAGTATATATTTCTAGTGAATTGAACAATGTCCGGTGACTCTACAGCTATGGCCCTGCGGTCATCCCTACAATGTTGGGAAGATTGAGCCAGCGAGTCTGAATTTGAATACAAGGAGCTCGAGGCCGTGCAAGGCAATCTGATCTGCATCATTTCCTGAAGAAGGGAGAGCGCTTGTCCCCACTGGCCGCCTGACGCAATCTTCGAGCTGATGAAAAGTGGATTTGGTGTCAAAACACGTGAAGTTTCAGGCCTTTCACACATGCACTGATGGCTGAGTTGTAGTTTGTGTCCTTGGAAGTGATGATTGCAACAGCAAACGAGCAGAGTCCATCAGCCAGCTGGCTAGCTGGCCCCTGTGTGGCTATACCCGATGCCTAAGTTGTCTCGCCTTTAGCTTTCCAAGGCACGGTCGGAACTAATTCAGCTGATGTCAACTCGTCCAATAGGCTAATGGACAAATGCCATTGCGCCGATCGAGCACAGGCGCTGATAGCAGAGTTGTAACAGAACCTGACAGATTCATAGCCAACAAAGGAGACTCTTACATCTGCAACACCAAACGCTGTCAAGGCTCTCATTCACTTCAACGCTGTTAGGTCGCATTCCTGGCTTCAGCTGCAGACTATTGTTTCAATTCATGACCCTGAGTCACCTGACATACCTCAATCTCAGAGTCTAAATAATGCGTGCAAGATGCCGTGCAAGAGGGCCACAGCCACTTGCCACTGGCCACTCTTGTCACAGGCGCTGATAACAGCATTGCAACAAATGGGACTTTGCTGCAAACTCCACACGCGCATTTCCTGCAGCACTTCGAGAAGGTTTTCAGCTTTTTGTGTATCTCTCATTTGGTCTTTTAGGTCTGCACAGCAACCATGGTGTTTTTGCAGTTCTGTACAAAATGGCGGAGGCTATCCAGCAAAGCAAAGCTAAGGCATCAGTGTCAAGGACATGCCGCCTTCAACAACTCCAAGGCCTCTTGCCATCCCCCAGCCACACTTCGAGAACAAGCCTGAGACCGGTCAATTAAAGAAATCCTCTCAAACAACTCCTGTATAAATTACGGTCTTCTTTGAGCCAGGACACTGCTAGCAACGCTCCGTAGTGGAATTCGTTTGGTACCGCACGAGCGCATTGGAGCGTGCGAAACACGTGCAAAGCAACATCCAGCTTGCCTGAAGCGAAGAATAGAATGGAGGCCCCTATGCATTGAAAAAACTCATGAGAGGTGCTTCAGCACAGCAAACACATATGTTGTGATAGGTGATCTTTGGTCTGAGCAAAGCTGCCAGCTTTGCCGAGTTGACCCAGCAAAGTGGTCGCCAGTCTCGGCTCAGCCTCAGACGAGAAAGACATCCAACCGTTCCAGTGGCTGGCGACGCACCACTGAGGTCGCAACGCACAACAAGTCCAAGTCGGTGGAAAGTATGTCTTGCACTTGTTGCAGCGAAGCATTCTGCTTCAGTTTTTGAAGTGATTCAAAGGCGCCAGGCATGCATTGTCAACATTGGCATATACTTTAAATTGAACCAAAACTGCAGTGGAGAATCTTCCAATGTTTCATGAGTCTCTCTTTTGCCAATATCCCACAAATGTGACACAACTGCAGTGCCCGCGCTCCAATTTCCAGGCAAAAAGGATGCACAGTGCAATCATATGACACGTGCTATATTTTTCGTTGTAGTCTTAAGACAAACAATGAGAACAAAAACAAACGGAACTCTATTCAAATTCAAGCTGGTTGGATGTGTTTACACGTGGCATTGATTCTGGCTGCACACTCCTTTGTTGCCATGTCCCTGAATGAATGTCCAAAAACCAACGTTTGCAGTGCCCCGCTGGGTGGCTTGTCTCGCTTGTCGTGAGTTGGCAATTTCTTCATATGCATCTGTTCTCTAAACTGATGAGGACTCCAGCGAACTTAAACCTCTGTTGAACCATGTTCACCTAGTCACAGGCGTTCGACACAGAGCCTGGGTAGCCAACGTTCCCTAAATTCAGGACCCAGCAAAGGTGGGCCTTCAACTGGCTGTACCTGCATCACGTGAACTGTCCGCCTTCTTTGTCGAATCTTGTTGTGTCCCCTAACCGCCTCAAAGACCGTGCTCAACAGCGGTTCAAATTGATGCAAGTCCTCGACAACGCAATGAAAACAACAGGCAACAATGGCCAAACTGAAAAAACGGCCACAAAGCAAAGTCGGAACCCGCCAAAGTTTCGTTGTTGCTGCCGAGATGAACATCGCACCATGTTTGTTGATGACTCACATTGATCTTGCGTCTCTCGTTGAACCGGGCTGGCTATTTTTCGACCCCTAAATGGTATTTTTTCAGCCGCATGTATTTTATTGAACGACTCCCACAAGGTAATTTTTCAACCTCAAATTCAAAAATTACCATGCGAGAGCGTCCAAAAGTATTGTTTCAACCGCAAAATGATTTTGTGACTTGAATTTTTTTGTTGAGCCTCAAAAAGTTTTTTGAACTGCAATTGTTTTTCGACCTCAAAAATGTATTTGTTGAACCCCAAGGAAAAGAGAGAGACACGAACGAAAAAAGAGAGAGCGAAAACTGCAGTTACATTTTTACGCAAGACCCCAACCTACCACCCTACAACTCACATTCACATGCACAAAGGACTCAAACATTCCGCATCTATTTTTCACTTCGTGTTGCTTGCAGCGTTTGGGTGCATGTTGACATCGGGTACCCAGCGATCTAACGCCATCTGTCCGCCCAATCTAGCGGGCCTCTTGACTGCTGGGTTTCCCGAAGCGGGGTTGATGTTGATGTCGTTCCTGTGACCTCAAGTTCGTTACGACTGCGATCGAACGAAACATATCGTCATTCGAGAGGGTCAGGCAACATGCAACTTCAAAAAAACACCCCTTTGCACTGCACTCCATTCAAATAGTCTTCAAATATATCATCATAGGGAAAACAAAGAGTGATATCATCTTTGTGGGTGGGTGGGGATTTCAAGAACCATGGGGGCGCGATCTACCTCGTTCTGGGGGTCACTTGAGAGGTCGTATTACATACAACTGATCAAGTGACATCGCATCCTCCCTAGCGCGTTCACTCCCTGCTGTTTTCACTGCACAAACAAGTTTGTTTCACGAAAACTGCAATTACGTTCTTACGCAAGACCCCAACCTACCACCCTACAACTCACATTCACACGCACAAGGGACTCAAACATTCCGCATCTATTTTTCACTTCGTGTTGCTTGCAGCGTTTGGGTGCATGTTGACATCGGGCACCCAGCGATCTAACGCCATCTGTCCGCCCAATCTAGCGGGCCTCTTGACTGCTGGGTTTCCCGAAGCGGGGTTGATGTTGATGTCGTTCCTGTGACCTCAAGTTCGTTACGACTGCGATCGAACGAAACATATCGTCATTCGAGAGGGTCAGGCAACATGCAACTTCAAAGACCCCCCTTTTCATACACAAAGCTGCAGCTCTCGGCCTAATCTGCAATGTCAGGCCTGGCCCAATCCGGCAGTTTCTCCTTGCATCTCTCGCAAGGGGTCTGCATGTTCTGGGGTAGGTCTGCTGGCTCCATCGCGGCTTTTGCCACTCCTCCTGCCGCGATCCATGGCCAACCACAAGCCGTCACCCACACGACGTTGTAGCGGTCAAATCCAAAGCAGCCAAACCGGCCATGGATCAGCAGCGGAGGGGCCCAGAACAAGGACTGATCAATGCAATCTATTCCCGACTTCACACACCTCCGGCGCCAACAACAGGTCTACTCAGCATTGCCACAGCAAGGCCTCCCACAACGGGTACCACCAACCCTCAAATGCCTGCAACGCCTGCCAATGACCCAAGCATTCACACACCAACAAAGGCGGCTGCCCCCACCAAAGAAATCTACCTCCAGGAGGCAGAAGAACAGTCTGGATCAGTGGACACCGAAATTACCCAGCTTGCAGAGCAGAGAGCGATGCAAATGGTACATCGTTACCAAACACTTTCAGTCGAAATGATTGCCCGCGCAAGTGCAGAGACTGCAGGAAAGCTCGAGGCTCTGCCCCCTGTGGCGCCCCCAGTAAGCTTGTATGCTAACTTGCCGCAGGAGTGGCCCTTAGCACGCCTTAGTGTCCAATTGCGTCACATTGGGGTACTGCTTAGGGTTACCCTCTACCGCCGTGTTGCTGAGCTCAGTTTTCGAGGGGTCGACTTTTGCCAGCTGCCGCGAGAGGTCATGAAAGACATTTGCCATGACTTTGATAATATCTGTGGCGAAATGGCCAAACGACTAGCGTCGCTCTTTGCATTCCTCAAACCCGCATCGAATGTGACCAAGCACTCTGACCCTATGGGGTTGTCGCTGTATGCTGACCCAGCCTATTGGCTGTACGGCCTCCTATCCTTTTGTGCCAAAGCATGTGAGTCCAAAACAGCGGAGGCAAATGGTACCCCGGTACTGCGAGCGAGGGACGAACGGGGCACGCCAGCGACCTTGTCGCTTATGCAGACAGTGGTCATGTCCTTTGGCCGCAATCAGAGCTTGGGTAAACAGGACCTCCCCATTCATCACCTGCATGTTTACTTTCCGGTGCAGCTAGTCCACAAACTCATTGAACGCATGGACAAGCTGCGATTCACAGAAGTGACGCCAGAAGATGGAAAGAAATACAGGCACAACAGTGAAAGTGAGGCCAACAGCCCATACATTGTTGTGGGTACATACGAAGGGGTGTGTCCCTCTAGTACTTTCGCTGCCCTTCCAGACACGCCCAGACTTGCAGGGGCATATGAATATGGATTCCTTGACGGCAATCTGGGTCAAATGGCCTCCTTTCAGTCCACCTACAAAAGCACCCTTCGAATTGAAGTACCAGTGTGGCCGGAGGTACAGCAAGCAGCGCTGACTTTTTTTTTGCACGGGTACGGGCGCTATGTGTGCCGAGAGGCACAAGTCACCTTGGATGAATTCGAAGAGTCGGATGAGAGGATACGAGCCAGAACCAAAGAGGCTAACCCACCAAGGCCCAACCACCAAAACAAACAAGCACACCCAAACAGCCCCCCAAAGGAAACCGAAACGGAGCTGGCTCATATCCGCTTGAAATGTGAGAAAAAAGTGAAGATCCAGAGATTTAACACGGAGGTGAGACGGGGCAATGAATTCAAGATCCTAGCAGCACTCAGTACAAGATGTCCATCATCGAACAGCTTCCTGCCTCATGGGTAGCTGGTGTTTCAACGAGGGGTGTTGTGCCCTCAGTCATTGTCGAGCAAGACTGGATGCAAGTG